CCTTTATTACCTAGATTGTATTTTTTAATGCATACTAACCTTGGTCCAACTCCGTTAATTTTAAACTAGCTATATTAGATGAGTCATTTAGGCTGTCATTACGTGGAATAGCACAATCAACTTCTATATCCTCTTCTTCTTCATTGATCACCTCCTCTTCTCCCATATAGGCAGCAAAGTCTACATTCTTCTCTCGATTCCATGTAAATTGCGCAGCTAAAAGTGTTTTAAGAAAGATGAACAATTTGCAAGAACTTGGAAAAGTGTTGAGGTTGAGACAATATTTTTAAGAAGGTTCCTATAGGTTTTAACTAAGGAACATTACTGCACGATTTGAGATGGATTAAGAGTGCATTATATGTTTCAGAAGATTAATAACCTTCTACTTATACATGAATTGTACATGATGTCATTTTGCCTGATTTGGACAAGAACAGAAAAGAACAAAGGTAAATATGTTAGAAACATACCTGTTGAAGGAGAGATGCAGTAGTTATCCTCAACGGATCTTGAGTATTCATCTTCATCATCATAATACTCTGCGTTAATAAAAATAAACATTTAAAAAGTTCTAACAAAATAATGGAATCATGTACGATATAATTTACTGTTGACTACTTTGAAAGGTGCAGAGGTTCGACTGAAAAGTCCTATTTACTCAGTGAGTTAAAAATATCAACTAATGAAAATGAAAGTTTGTTATTTGATAAGACTTAATTTCATTGATTTTGACATGAAGTTTCACCTTGTTTAAATACATACAAATAAGACCATATTTAATGCTGATTAAAAAATGTAGAGCAGAGACAGAGTGCAAAATTGAGTACAGCAAATTTATTGTGTCTCTCAAATATGTAGGAAGATCCTCTGATGACCCTTTCATAGCCTCAGTAGCAGATTTTTTTTACATTCTGTGCACCGAAATGATTGACGTTTATTAAATATTCTGATAATATTTTTAGATTAAGTTGTGACCTGATAGTGAAATAACAAATTGAGCCCTGGGATGCACCAATTATTTCTAATTTCTAGGGTTCAACTTGCCTCACCCAGAAACAGTCACTTTGTTAGTTCAATTTATTTTAAATGTTTGTGAGTGACACTAAAAATTAGATTAACAAATATATAGCATGGTGACATAATGTTTCCAGTTTGGGACCTACAACTAAAACAGTAAAAGTTTTAAAATTTCAATAAGTCATATGAAGTGGCTATTCGGACCCGGCTACCGGAAGTGAGCGGTTGGGATTAAAAAACGAAGTGTCTACACGTCCGGTGCGCCTGACAAATAGTGCTGGAGATATACGTCCGGCGGGCACGTGACGACTAGTGGAAGATATTATTTTGGTGGTAGTCATGTCACGTAACAAGTGGTCGCCGGAAAAGTAGTCGGCCTATATACTAACTAGTAGTATTATAACTACTACTACCGTATTACTAGTCTATTTGATTCCGACTATTCAAAGAAGAAAGTCCCTTATCTTGCTTAAACATCTTGTAAAGCTATAGCTTGACGCCTAAGTTTAAAATATGAACCAAATAAAATAAAACAAGTAGACTTCAATAGACCTATGTCATTAAAGTTGTATTTCAGGATTAGTATATTTCTTTGTGAACTATCTGCCTCCCCGCCTTAAAATTAATTATTTATCACCCTCACTATTATTTTTTTAGCATTCATATTTTTTATTACTGTAGTTCTCTCTCCCTCTTAGCATGGCCTCCTTCTAGAATGCATTATTGCTTAACCCCCACTTTGTTTGGTAATTATACCCAAGTATTTTGTTCTATTACTTGTTTGCAAGAAACTCAGTAAATTACTTGGTAGAGAAATAGATTTTAAAATTAACAATAGTTTTGAATCATTCGCGGTCATGTGACAAGGCTGACTGACAATAATCTCGTGCCACTTGTTACGGCGGTCATGTGACTTGGTCGCTGGACAGATAGTGCGGGAGATATATGTCTTAACTAACATAAACTACCACATATCTCATCCGCATAGCATTTAGTCAAAATCAATCCGGACATGCATCGCCCTGTCGGACCCGGGTTATACCGCACTGTGGTAATGTTGTATTTTAGCGTCAGTAATTAACAAAAAAAAATTTTATTTTTCAAATAAATAAATATTCATTGCCAAGTGCCGAATTTATGTATTTCTGGTTGAAGTCCCCGAACAGAAATGCAGCAACTTTGCAGGTTTGCATACAGCAGCATATTTTGCCAGGTTCTCACATCATGAATCATATCTGACGGTTGGGCAGCTTAATGCACAAGTCGACAGGATGGGGTGGAATATATCAGCATTGGGTTCCTGTCCATCAACACAAATTCGTTGACCCGAACAATGCAGAATTCCACACACAGAACATTGACATGATTGAGCATATGTGGATACGGGCTAAACTTAAACGCAAACTGAAGAGACAATTCAGGACTAGTCTTGCTCAGTTTTATTTTCACTTATCGTTGTTACTTTGGCGATGGAGACTTATTTTCACAGTTCATCATCACTTTGGCTGACAATTATGGCATGGATAGGCTAAACTAAAATGAACATGCGCTTTCACTATCACTGATCACCATCTGACTATCTATTGACACTATAATACTATACTATTGTGAGTTATTGCATAAATGAATAATTTTTTTAAATCTTAAAATTAAAACTTAAACTGGTTTTATTTATTTTTGGCAATTATTATTTTTTGACAATTTTTTAATTTTCTTAATTACCGAAGCTAAAATACAACATTACCCGCACTGTAGTAAGCCTTACAATTAATCCTACTAAGCTTAATTAATTCGATTTAAACTTGGTCTTGGTTTAAAAAACTATTTTTAATGAAAATTACCATCTTCGTAGTTCATAGTCCTAACAATTCGATGTCGAGACATTTTGAATTTGTCATAAAGACAAAGCTGGTAGACCAATAGAGCAGACTTAACTAAACAGGGGTCTCATTATTTATAAAAAAAAATTAATAGAAACCAAATGTAGTCATATTTTGTGGGAATTTCTGTTGCTCTAAAATCGACATTCTAGGTAAACAGGAAGTTACACGAAGCTAGTGAAATGTCTTGGGCAGATTTTGGAGTATCTTTCCCAAATATATCCCCTTCCGTAATAAATCTCAAAATAGATTTTTAATGTAGCAGTTTATGCATTGAGGTGATTGGGTTGATGTAACATATTATTGCATAAAAATAATATAAAGTAACCTAATGTATCATTTAAAGAGAGTAGAAATTGCCAGATCAATCAGATTTTAATTATTTACAAATATTTTTTTTTGCTCAGCTATGAAAATTAAATTGGCATACTCCACTACAAAACGAAAGAGACAATCAGAAATTAAATTTGATTTATTTTTTTTTCCTTTCTTTTTATTTTTTTTTTTTTCGGGAAACACATGAACTAAAAATAACGGGGGAGCGTTGGTGGTTAATTTGGAGTTTTAAAAATTGCCATTGAAGATTAGAAAATTAAGCTTACTAATAGCAAATGAATAAGATTTGGCAGTTGATTTCATAACTAGATCAGATAGACATAGATAAATCGGAATAATTATATGATTGATTTTATATGCTAAATTAATTGGTATTTTATCAGAAAACTCATATAGTTATAGTTTGCATCCTTACTATAATGCAGTCTTATTTATATTTTTACTTTTTGTGGGTTTTTCTTTTTCTTTTTTTTTTTTTTTGGTTTAAAATTTATTGAAAAGTTTTTGTTTCTTTTTTTTAAAATTACGAGACGATCAACCCACTGACGGATTCGGTTGAATGAAGGAGGAATAGTCCAATTTAATATTCGCCTTCAAACTTACTATAATGCAGTCTTATTTATATTTTTACGTTTTGTGGGTTTTTCTTTTTCTTTTTTTTTTTTTTTGGTATAAAATATATTGAAAAGTTGTAGCTTCATTGTTTTAAAATTACGAGACGATCAACCCACTGACGGATTCGGTTGAATGAAGGAGGAATAGTCCAATTTAATATTCGCCTTCAAATAAAAGAAAAGTTTGTTTAACTACTAAAATGTGTTAGGTTGTTTTTTTTTGTGTTGTTTTTTATAATGCATCTCGTGATAAATTGACTGTTCGTTCCTTGTTTACATTATTGATTAGTAGGTCAAATCGACCTATAATGCTTTTAATATTTCTATTAATTTGTTTTATGAATCTAAGTCCGAAGAATGCATAGCCATAAGCCATAAGTAATAAGCAAATATTTTTGATTTCTACGCTTTTAAAGTGATACGTGATTAGGCACCGGAATTGTCATTTTGGGATTCATTAGATTCTTAAACCATTATCATTAATCATTTATAAAGCAAGAAAAGCATGTTTGTTGATGGGAATTTTTTTTAAAATTATTTTAAATATTGCTTTGCTTGGTATAAGTATTTTAAAAATACTTATACCAAGCAAAGCAATAGGCTTTTATGAAGCAGGTACGACGGTACGGTGCATGGGCATGTAAAAAAATGTTGACATGTAATAATTATATATACAAGATAAAATTAAAACTAGTGCTTTCAAAATATGGATCAGATTGGAAAAAAAAACAACTATATAATAGCCTCGAAACATTAAAATATTTATAATAATAACTAGGGCTGTCAAAAATGGAAGTTGGGGGGGGGGGGCCGCACGGGTACCGGTAACGTCATTTCAGGTGTTTTCAGAAAAGGGGAAGTTGGGTGGGGGGGGGGGGGTTAAAAATATGGATCAGATTGGAAAAAAAAACAACTATATAATAGCCTCGAAACATTAAAATATTTATAATAATAACTAGGGCTGTCAAAAATGGAAGTTGGGGGGGGGGGGGCCGCCCGGGTCCCAGTAACGTCATTTCAGGTGTTTTCAGAAAAGGGGAAGTTTGGTGGGGGGGGGGGGGGCTCAAAACCAAAACTAGACCGGCTTGTTGAGTTGTGTAATACTGGAGGGTCACAGTGCATAGCAATATACTTTTGAACTCTCGTAACGTTCTATCGAAAGAAATTAGACCCTTGCGGTTTTAAATTAAAAAGAAAAATACGAATGTATGGGTAGGCCTATCCGAGCATTGCCCCGGTCATTTAGCCTCGGGCGGGTACCCATGGCAGCCTGAACAGTTCCCCGCCCTGGAATGGGCAATGTTGCCTTCGTCTGAGGCTACAGAACTCTTTTGCGACATAAGGGTAAAACTCTAAGATGAAATGAAAACTATACTATAACTTGTACGAACGTTTATAAATAAATATATTTATATTATCCCATATTATATATCCTCTCACCTGTCGTAGAAAAATTTACAATAATATTTTACAAACCCAAAGATTAAGAGTAAAATGGTACTACTTCAACTACAAGCCAATCAATCAATCATAATCATAAATGTAAATAGTAAATGCCATATTAAATTCACGAGTCGAGTGTCAACAGCGTCATCAACAGAGCAGTGCATCCATGGTTACAACATTGTCATTAACAAACTAATTAATAAGTATAATATGGTATTAGACTTGTATTATTAGCATACTTATAACTTTTTGCTTTTTAGCAACTTATATAATAAACTATACTCTGGCACATTTATGATTTTGAATTAAATTTAAAGGCATATTATTCAATTTATTGTGCATTCAGTGCATTCTCATGCTCATTCAGAGTTTCAGTGATTCAGTGGCAGTCATATTCATTCATTTTCATAATAATATGACTATGATTATTATAATCATTCATATTGATATTCATAGTCTGATTCATATTTAAACATAATCATCATAGTATAGTGACTATAGTCATAATATTCTTCATAGCCAAGATTATAAAATTCGGTACTTCGCTGGCTTCACATATAGGCCGATCGCCGATGAGTGCTGAACTTACAATTACAAAGAAAGTTACTAAAATAAGTCAGTGCGCTGCGATACTGGGATGAGTGCTCAGTCTAGAAATTTGATATGATTGACAGACTGCAATGCAGACAGTGATAGAGTTACTCAGAGTGCCCTAACTTATTTGAAAGCTTTCACTTTCTCTCATTTTATTCTTTTCATTTTTTAATTTAAGAAAAAATTATTTAAATTAATGGGTGATGCTCCCAGGAGAAGCTGTCACTGTCAGCAATGCCACCAATGATCATTCCTCATGGAAATGAATGTGCAACTAAGTGATTTTTCTTATATCAGCCAGTACAATACCAGTAATTGTAATATTATCAGAATCAGACAACTGCTTATTACAAAACTAGAAGAATTGAAATGTTTGAAAATAGATTAATAATAACTATCAACATTTCAATTTAGCACAGCACTTGGATAAGTAGGCTATTCATTTGGTTATCTCAAAAAATTGATATGACATGTTTGGAGTAATGAATATTCTCTAGCTGCTAATACTGAAGTTCCAAAGCCTAGGTACTCTGGAAATAGCCAAATGGGATTGGTTTGGAGAGGGAAAAAATATATTAAATAAATATAACTATTAAGCTCAGCTATGCCACAATTAGTGTATGCAGACAATTGTTAATTATGAAAATAAAACTAGTTTAGAAATGCAACCAACTCATAACTTAACTATATTAATTTGCATGTACGTGAACATTTCTAACATTTTCAATTTAATTGGTGTGCCTTTGATACCGTACCTATATGTGTTTTGTTTAGATTCCGGCAATTATTAAGTGAACACAACAAGGAATATGAATTCCTCCACTAATATTGAAATTAATATGAATATTGAAAAATATGTTTGTACCCTTTGTTTGTATCAATTTAATTACAATAATAATTTTAATTCTTATACTAAATAAAAGCAATTTAATTTATGCTGCATCTTTTTCATAATTTATGTTTAAATTTGGAGCAATTAGTTCAGCTGCTTTCTATATGAAATGATCTTAGTTTGTCCCAGTTGACCTGAATCCAAGGTATAATTCAAAACGCAGATGACAGTTGACACTCTAAATAAAATTAAAATAACTTAACACTATTGTTCCCTCTATAACAGTTAATCATAATAATTAAATTTAAAGTTATTAACAACTAGGCTGTATACCACAGTATTAAATTTATAGTTGGTAATGTATCTTCCTTGGCCTTTAACATACCAGTATAAATCAATGAGCATATAGTAAATTGAACAAACTACATAGAATTCTATTCTAATTCTAGCACTTAAATTTTAAAAAAAAAAACAATAAACACAATCAATTTTTTGCAAATACAAAATTGTAACTCTAGACTCAAAACTGAAAAAAAAAAACTGAATGAATGCTCTGGCAAAGAGAGAAATTACCTTTTTTTTTTTAATCAGAGGAATTTAATTTGATTTGTTTTCATATATTTTCTTTGAACAAGTATATTGATTGATGTGGGTTATTAACTTTTTTTTTATTGGGTTATAAACTTTTTTTTATAGCTGTGATGTTTAAAGCATTTAGAAAAATGACTCAACCAATCATCCTCTGCACCGGTAACAAGAATAAAGTGAAAGAAATAATTGATATATTTGGTGAGGATTTCCCTTACAAGGTAAGTTATATAGTTATATAAGAGATTTGTTCAAGGTTACAAAAAGGCTTCTCCTCTTTCTCTCTCTCCCCCACCACCCAGCTTTAATTCATGAGGGGGAAAAATCTGTTCTGTTTGTCCTAGTAATTTTGGATAGGGACTATTTTCAGTTTGAGCTTGGTGTTGGACACTTTTATCATTGATGCTCTGACCTAGCAATTTATGTCTGGCTTAGCCTCTGCATTGTCCTCATGTTTTTTAAAATGGTACACTTTAATATTTTGATGATTCAAAAAGAGGAGTAATAAGTGCAAAAATGTTTTTTAAGGTATGAAATGCTAACTGCATTTCATTAATGAAAATACATACACTGGACCCTTGATATTACACACTTTTTCAGATCGAACACTTACAGTGACACCATGTTAATATTTATATTAAAAAAACATTTTTTTCCCCATGAGCCATTGTTCATCCTGCTTTTGATCCACGCAAAAGACATACGGTCCAGTGTATTGCTTCTTTAAAAACATATCTAATCATATCAATTCTGCATTGATCAATTGCACATTTGATTAACTAGACTAGAACACTGATTAGTTCATGAGTGTTCATGCTTATTTAATCTCTCATCACTGCACTTTTCAATAAATTAACACTAGGTGGAAAATCAAGATATTGATCTCCCAGAATACCAGGGAGAGCCTGAAGACATAGCTAGAGCCAAGTGTGAACTTGCTGCCCAACATGTGAAAGGACCAGTGCTAGTAGAAGATGTTAGTTTGTGTTTCAATGCACTTGGTGGCATGCCAGGCCCTTATATTAAGTGGTTTTTAATGAAAATTGGACCTGCAGGTATTTAAGATATAAACTTTAAGATTCTTTATTTGTTTTTCTTTTTCTGCCTGAGCCATTATAATTTTTAAATATATCAGACGAAAATTTACTCTTTTAAAATTATGATGTAGTATTAATATTATTGTTAGACATTTTGTATTTGGGAGGTTTTTTAACTACAGGTACCAACTTTAGAAATGTATGATTATTAATCACCAAACACGGTTGTGTAATTTAAAAATTGATACTAGTGGGTAAACCTTTTTGAGTCATGCATGGTTGATGCACATTAACATATAAATTGCATAAAACAAATACACATATCACATGTGATTTGTATCTTTCTATTTCCATTAAAAGAGAATGCACATATATGATTTTATTTCTTTAAAAAAATAAAAAATTAGCCTAAAAATATTTTAAAATATTACTAATACTTCAATGAAACAAGTGGACAAATGTGAGCATAGGTGTCACCCGGACTAAATACTAAGACAAATATTATTTTTCAAAGTGTATGTTGTTAATTATTACCAATTTAGAAAATGTAGTTTTCTTCTTTTGAAGTTATCATTTTAAAAATTAATTTAACAGCCATATCATTCATTAAAAAATTTTCTAAGGTTACTGTATCCTTATCAATATTTTTTTCCAGGTCTTTATAAAATGCTTGAAAGTTATGAAGACAAAACTGCCTACGCCCAGTGCATATTTGCATACTGTTCAGGGGAGAAGGGAGCCAAAGTTCATATATTTGATGGGCGCTGTAATGGTACAATAGTGTCCCCTCGTGGGCCTACAGACTTTGGATGGGACCCTATATTCCAGCCAGAGGGCTACACAGAAACATATGCTGAGATGAATAAGACATCAAAAAATGCAATATCCCACAGATCAAAAGCAATAGCAGCTGTTAAAGAATTTTTATTAACTTTGAAACAATAAAGGATAATTTATGAACCATTATTTTATTTATTTTCATTGTTAACTTAGTCTAGGTACCCGGTATCTCAAACTGATTTTTCAAAATGGTCGTATTGGTTGTTTTTATGCTGTTATTTCAAGAACTCATGATTCTAAGACTTTGGATACCAAATTTGTTCACATATCTCTATTAGTGAAAAAAAGTTTTGATTTTTTTAAATCTTAGTACCCATATTGGATATTTTGACATTTTTTGGCCACCATCAAAAGAGCCCTTTTTGTAAAGTTACATCTGTAAAAGTTAACCTTTTTAACTCAACACAAACCCAAATATATAGAGAACAGACTCAATTTTTTTTTCAAATGTAAAATAATTATTAATTTATTAAATATAATTGTGATGAAATGGCAGACTCAACTACACCCAGTTCTTTTTCACAAGCGCTGTTTAGGCCAAAGATAAAATTAGCATTGCAGTGCAAAAAAAGAACTTGTATTTGTTCACCCAGTTCTTGGGAAACATATCTACTAAATTTAGTCTGAAACAATTTCATGGAAGCAAATGAGTATATATATATTATGAAAAAAATTTCGTTCAAAACAGTTTATTAGATTTTTTTTAAAATGACAATCTATTGGTATAATAATTATAAGAATTTATTTTATAATTTATATTCATATCATTGATTGATTGATTAAATAGCTTATAGCTTCTTTAAAACTTAAGTGGGTTTTCACAAGATTTACAGTTGCAAAAAAATGAGAAAAAATTGTAGAAAAGGTCTATAGATTTTGTATGGCAATTTAAAACATGTCATTTTTTAAATTTAAAATAACTTGGATCTAAATGGTATAAAAAAAGAACAAAGGAAATATTTACAAAAAATGTTGTATATTTATTAATATGTGAAGGCAGCATGAATTTCCAAACAAATGCAGTAATTTAAAAAGTTTATTTGGAATTTCTAACTATTGTAACTTTCTTCACCTAAATTACTAAATAATGAAAGTGTCACCTTTATTAAGACCATTTGATTTATTCCTCCCCACACCCCCAATTAATGGATTATTTTTCAAATTGATAAGTTATCAATAAAAGCTTTTAATACAAAATATTACATTACCGGTGTGAACCTTTATATAGTTACCAAAACTTTTAAAAAGAAAACAAGCTATTAAAAAATACATTAAAAATAGTTACACATACCAAGTATTCTGAGTTGAATAATGATGTGTAAATTCTGCAAATCCTTTGGAATGACAACTGACATCTTTCTCCTTTGCATTTTGAAAGAAATTCTTTTAAAATGTCTTTCAAGTGGTACACAGTTCCAGCTAGATGAAACAGTACAGTACATGCATTCTATTCCTAACATATCTTGTTATCACTCCAGAGGCTAGGTTTTTTAAGTTTAGAAAAGCTCTGAAGCCTCCTGGATCTCCGGATTTCATCTTGTATCTATAGAAAATTAATAAGCATAAATATTTGTATAAATTTGTTGAAATATATGTAAAGATGTTAGTGTGTGTTTATGTGTGATGCATATAATTTATATTTAAATTATAAATAAAACCTAATTATTTAACACTCACTTGAGCTTGGAAATAGAGTAAGAGTAAATTGGCTGCTTTTCCTTCAGATCCAAATAATCCACTACTAACTTTAAAGTCGTCATCAAACTTCTTTAAGAGTCATCTAACTTGGGAAGCTATCACCTCAATCGGATGTACAGTGCAGTTATGTGCATTAAATAATAGTTCCCCTAACTGTGAATCGGAAATAACACCCATCTCATAAGCCATTAGAGATGCTGTAGAAGGTCCAGGAATACTTGAAACTTTCAGAAGGCAGACCTCTTTTACAACAAATTCAATTATTGGTACGGCCTTCTCTATTGCAACTTGATTTAAGAGGCACATATATGTACATTTTCTAATTGGGACACTATATTGCTTTCTCTTGGGCTCCATCCCCTTAAAGTTGTAAGAATTGTGGTAGTGTTGAACTTCTCCAATTCTTTTAGCCTATATAATAATAATAAGAGGTCTAATATAGCGCGGTACCCCAGCCTAGGGCTGGGCTCACCGCGCTGTACATAAATTTTTTATCAAAAGAGACATAATCATGACATTAAAATAAAATAGATTTATGAAATAAAGAACAGTAATGTATATTCACCCACCCCACCACATAACTTTTACAAGGCAAGCCATGGACAGCAGCCAGCAAGATCGTTTATCGGTCAGAGGAGGGGAATCAGTCAGGGTAGTATAATTTTAAATATCTTGAACAGCAAATTTCTAAATCCAACGCCTTTACTTATTCCTATTTATCTTAATAATATTTTTCAATGCTATTTTTTTCTCTTATAAAATTGTTCTCCGAGTTTGCTTTCTTTTTTTCAGTATTTTTAGGCGAGTCAAAGTCCTACAATTTAACTTCTAAATAACTTAATTTTTTTTTGTAACGTTAAATTTTCTTTTCTTGATTAATTTAAACTTTTCTTGTCTCAATTTTTCCCTAGTTGCTGCATATCTTTTAAAATTTTGAGTAACTCTTTCAACATCAAGCCCTTTGAAATCTCTCTTGATAAATTTTTTGAGGCTCAGAGTTTTGGCTTTAAATCAGAAATGGCCTTCATAAATGCTTTTCTTAGTACTGAGCGCATCTCACGGTCTCTTTTGATTTGCATTTCAATTTTTTCTTGAGGACTTCTTTATTTTTTTAAAGAGAAATGATAGTGACAGCTTCACCTATTGGCTCTTTCTTCTTTAATGACTTAACAACTGGTATCTTAAAAGGCATATTCAAAATCCCTGTGATTCTATTCCAGTTTTTGTTGATGTTCTTTTTAAATATCTGGACATCACTGGTAAAACATCCTACTGCAAAGTTTATCCCTATGAGTGTACATTCATGGCCTTGGGCTGTCAAAAGTTGATGTATCATTTGTGTTGTTCTAACATTATTTTTTTATTCAGAGTAAGCCAAGTGTGTATAATCCACTAGGGATTATTATTCCTTCATGGGATATGAATTTATTAATATAAGCCTGGTAATTTTGATGAGTCCTTATTACAGCTTCCCCCATCAACTGGAATGGACAGGCATGAAGCAATGGTAGCACTAGAAGCACATCCCTTCACAGCTCCTTCAAAAAGTGGGGGTGATAGCTGTATATGTAAAAGAAAGAAAATGCTGAAACAGATTAGAAATTTTAACATCATTTTTTGCTCTAGGCCTACAAATAAGTGTCAAATTTAATAATGTTAAGCTAAAGCAGTAAAGATTAACGGCAAGAAAGGGGGAATAGGGTATAAACAAAGAAAATGAAAAAAAGAGACACATGTTATTTTGAAGAAAAGGGCAAATACCGTAGAGTACCTGGGTGTTACCATTCAAAGAGAGGTCCGCTGGGACGAGCATATTAACAATGTATGTAACCAAGCAAATAAGACCCCGGGGTTCTTAAGGCGAAATCTAAAGATTGGCAACTCCTGTGTGAAAGAAAGAGCATATAAAGCCTTTATCCGTCCGATTTTAGATTATGCATCTTCAGTCTGGGACCCATTTACCCAGAAGAGCATTGACAGGTTGGAGGCGGTCCAGCGACGAGCAGCACGCTTTGTCCTGAAACGCTACAGGAATACCTCTAGTGTTGGCAGCATGCTATAGAAACACTAGGCTGGTCACCATTGGAGAAACGAAGACGACAATCCAGGCTCTCCATGATGTACAAGATAAATAATGGGCTGGTCCACTGTTCCACTATTAAACAGAAACTGGTCCCTCTCCCCCATAGACAGCGACGAGGCCATGACAGGCAATTAATGCTCATAACACCAAGAAGCCAGTATAGGAGTTGCTCATTCCTGCCCAAGACAATCAGAGACTGGAACAATCTTTCAAAAGGAACGGTTGAGGCGACAACACTAGACACATTTGTGTCTATTGCCTCAAGCCTTCAAACGCTAGTGCATGATTCCCTCACAAAGTGGCACTGGAAATCTGTGAAATTCCCTCATCAACACCAGGAACAGAAACATTGCAAATCCCATCTACATGCATAGGAGTCAAAATGATCAATAAATTGATCGTGGGCCCTTAAGAATATAGAAGAAGAAGAAGAAATTATAAAACTTAATTAAATTTTTAAAAATTGACCATGTCGTTCAGCAGCTGCTGAGCCTAATATTCATTAAACATTTAGATAAATTATATCATAATTTATATCATTATCTTAATAAGCTTAGGTAATTATTATTATCTATTCCAAAGATAATAATTCCCAGTTGAAGAGGTCTACATTATTACAATAAAATTACAACAAAGATTGAGAAGACTCAAGGCGATTTAGTTTTGACATGGTTAAAAGTTATAGTAAGCAAGTATCAACAAATTGAATTGATGTGGGAATCGAACAACATTAAATAAACTGGAGAAACACAAGTTACTAAGAAAAATCCCTACTGAGCAGTGGTGTAGCTAGGGTTATTTACCCCAAGGGCTAACATCTTAGTCTAATACAGGGGTCTCAAACCCGCTACACAACAGCTAAGGTTAGTGTTAAAGCGGCCCGCGCGTTTTCCCCATTCTCATAATATCTATAAGGTGACCCTCCACGAAGGTTTCAGTCGAATCTCACCGACTAGTCTAATTCTGATTTTATTATGTTTGTATAAGTTTGGACGTTGATTATAATGGTAAAACCCGTTTTAAAATCGGACTAGAAGTTGTTTTTTTTTATAGCATTTTATGAGACAAACATGGCAAGAGTGCGGTTTTGAGAAAAGTTTTAAAAGACAGTTATGCACAACGATCATTGTGTAAATCGTAGCAATCTGACATAGTATCAAAGAATCCCTATTTAAAATGCCGCTAGTGTTTACGAGTGAGGCAAATTCCGAGGCGGTCAGTGTGGTCACTTTCAAAATAGGATTAGTCAAAAAGGCCTTTGCCTATTGTATGAACACGTGTCTCAGCATTTAAAGTCTTCGTGGAGAAGGATGGGGTTGTTGTTCCTGTGCTATGTGATCCTAAATGGCTCATGGACTTAGCTTTTCTTGTTGACATTACATAGGAGCTGAATGTACTCTACAAGAAGTTACAAGACCGGTGGTGACTTGTCAGTGTTTTCTACGATAATGTCAGGGCATGCTGCACAAAATTTGTGTTATGGTTTCTAGAGAAACCTCTGCCATTTCCCAACATGCAAAGTAGGCTACTCATGGACTCAGACATACCATTTAGTAGTGATTTTACTGATGTCATTGCAATGCTACAGGAAGAATTTGATCACAGGTTTGCAGACTTCAAAACACACAGAGCCCATTTTCAACTTTTTGCTGACACTTTCTCCTTCCATGTGGAAGATGCCCCCAACCCACTTTTTGCGCTTCAAATGGAGCTGATTGATCTTTAGGGAAATAATTAGAAAACGTCCCGCGGTGGCC